AGCAGAAGCAGCTGCAATCAGGCCACGCGGACCGGTCCTATGCGCACAGAAGCACTTCATACAGGTCCTACAGTTGCCATGGTTCAAAGACACCAAGCCAGCCACCCACATGTAATTACATTCGCCGGTACCCATCTTCTCTTTGGCGCTGACTGGAATCGTGGTGTTTTACTCTCCCACTCCCACCCCTCCCAACCCGAGCTGCAGCTTAATTATCTACCTGCCCGTATGTTTTAATTCAGTTATCTCTCAGTCACCCAACACCTCCACAGAACAAAAGACCATGAAACGAGAGAATGCATAAGGTACACTTTTCCAGACAATTATCCTCTTCTCTTGCGTCAAAGTGTGATTCATAAAAGGTATAAAAAATAGCAAATAAGAAAGAATGTTAGCAACTTCAGATCAAAAAAGAATTAGAAGTCATGATTTTAAGCGTACGGGGGAGGGGTCCAGTGTTAAAATAAGTGGATTGGGCTCTGTGTCTTGGACTGGTTCACGGTCGTGGTAGGAGAGAAAGTGCAGGATGGTAGTGGTTTAGGGCCATTTTTCATAAAAAAGCACATTATTAGAAATCAATCCACCTCTCATGGCCATCCTGCCCCGACACCTCATCGCTGTTTTCGTACCAGTCGAAGATGTCACCGTCCTGACCATTCTGTTGCATCTCCTCCTCCTCGTTCGTCAATTCCGCTAGGGCGGCAGCCTTGGCTTCCGTCTGTTTGCGGACGAAATTGACGAATACAGAGTCCAGTGAAGCCTGTCGCACCGCGAAGGTCTTCACTTCGCCGGTATTGCGCACAGCAACCAGCTGCTTAAACAGGGCTGCCAGAGGCACCTGCGTGCTGGCCTGGAAAGTTAGTCGTTGGCCCACGGACTCCGTCAGATGCACGTTCTCCTCGCCCAGGGCGACGCGCAGGCTCTCAGTCACCCGCTCTGCCGGTGCGCGTACATCCACCTCAACAATGTAGCCCTCACCAAAGCGCTCCTTCAACCGGGGCACAGTCCCGAAGCACTGAAACTGTCCAGCCACCATGATGCCCACCCGATTACACAACGCCTCACACTCCTCCATGCTGTGCGACGTGAGCACGATGGAGCAGTTGTCGCGCAGGAGAGACTTCAGCACGTCCCAGAGGTAACGTTTGGCGCCGGGGTCCATGCCACTGGTGGGTTCATCCAATAGAAGCACTCGAGGATTGCCGAGGATGGCCACGGCAGTGGACAGTTTGCGGAGATTGCCGCCCGAGTAGGCGGAGGCCCTCTTCTCTGCGTGGGGTCTCAGTGACATGTGATCAATAAGAGCATCTACGATAGGCTTGATTTCGTTCTCCGGAAAGCCGCGAATGCGAGCATAGAACTGGAGAGTCTCGTAGCCAGTCAGGTGGGGGTGCAGGGCGTCGAATTGTGGACAATATCCAATCTGGGTGTGAGCCTTTCGTGCCTCGGTCTCCAGGTTACATCCGTTGATCCAGATCTCTCCCCTGTCCGGTTTGATGGACGTGGTGAGCATGTTGAAGGTGGTAGTCTTACCGGCTCCGTTCACACCAAGCAGGCCGAAGCACTCTCCGGGGCGCACGCCGAAAGTGAGATCGTCCACGGCGGGCAGCTTCTTCCGGGGATAGCGTTTGGTCACTCCCTTCATCCGGATAATGTCGTTTGACTGATTACTCCCATCCTGTTGCGATGGACAGAATGGAAAACAAAACCCGATGAAATGACATACTGGAAAGTGTTGAGTAATGGCGAAAAGGAGTTAGAGTTGTCCCTGGGAGATGGGAACCAGATACTATAATTCTGCTGTCTCTCGTCTATTGCGAGAATACGGAAAAATGTAGGCAACGGGTATAATTGCATTGAAAGCGTCCTTTAGCCAGAGTGTTCGAATATTTAGAACTAACTGCTACAACCCCACTCAGTGCATTGAGGACCACTCGGAACATTCCCGGTTGTTTAATGGTGTAGGACCAAGTATGTAGGCCTCTGGGTCCGCCGAATAAGCGGCTGCGGAATATGGGGTGGCTCTAGTTTCAGACACGGCTGGACCCTCGCCTATCGAATCGGTATGTTGTAAGGAGGCCACAAGCAAATACCTTATTCCGTGTAGTTCAGTATATCTGTTGTGTCACATGACTTAATCCGCTGTATTCCGGCATACTCCCGCAACCTCGTGTGATCGAGGAATGGGTAATGCAGTCACAGCCTAACTCCCTGATTACACGAAAGTAAAGTTTACCACCAGTCGTGCTATCAAACGCTGGATAGAAGGAAATATTGCCCGACCAGAATGGTTATTTCTGGCCATTGTTGATTACTGATAACCGATTTCCACGTGACTGCCAGTGAGTTTTGTTTATTAGTCTTTAGTACCCTTATAAATCCAAACATGAATTGGAGAAACCCAGCAAAAATATCCCTTCATGCACTGATTTTTTAGGGAGATATGTGTTTTTCGGATTTAACTTGAAGCAATGGAATAGTTTGAATCCAAAATCGTTGTATTTATGAGACCGCTTAGGCCAGGAAATAGCTTCTCAAGTAGTCCGTCACCCCATTCTCCCCCACCTGACACTGACGGTCATTTTGTTTTTGACCTCACCCACCCAGACTCCCCCCCCCAACCTCAGCTACCGAATAACTTCTACTTGTCCACATTTTTATTTTAATCATTTCGACAGAAAGTTAAATGTTCAGACCTGATGAGAATTTATCGAAAGCTTGCGTATGCTCGCCAAAATGTCTTCTGAATTCTTAAGTAGCATTGTGGTTGACAGTTTTTTTTATGATCACGGACTTTCATACTAATATATAGCAACATAAGATCAGTGTCAAAACATTATATTGCTTCAGAACTCATTTTAACTATCAGTCAGTAAATCTGGAGTAGATGACAGAAGCCCTTAAGACCTCATTTAAACGGAACAGGTATTCATGAAAATAACTAAATCGCAAAAATGTTACGTGTGGCTTTAATGTGCAGATTGCATAAATCTAATGGGGGAACATAAATGTGAAAAAGATGTGACATCCACGAAATAACGGCGAAAACGATGATCGCTGCATTCTTACTGAGTACATTTTCATCTGGGTCAAATTAAATGTACATAAAAGGATCTAGACAGTATTTTATTACCGACAAAGACAAAGGAGACTTGAATGGCCTGGGTCTGTTGAATTTATGTTAGTAGCATGTTAATAGTCCTTTCAATGATCCGCTGGTGCGCTTTTTACAGACCGCCGGGAAGACGTGCATTCGAAGACCGGTATCCTGGAGCGAATGAATTACCATATCCCCATAAGAAATGCTTTTTAGCCGCAATTATGTTACAGAAGTTCGTTTAGTATTTCAAGTGTACGCCATACAGAGTATATCTGTGAGTAAATGCGTCTGCGAGCATTTATTATTTAATGTTTCTGGATATAGTTGAAGTGGAACAAAATTTCGTGCCATGCTGATAAGTTTAGAATGAATGTCAATTTTTTTCCGCATTTTTAAACCAAAACTCTCATCAGCTTGTGTGGATGAAGTGCAGCGTCGCCCTCTCTCTGCTTAATCTGGAGTCTAAAATGCATATAAAGTGGCACTTCACGCCAAAACACCGTTCATAAAGCGACAGATCTCGTGATCACAACCGAGGAGGTATCAGCCGATGCTTACGTCTGGTCTACCGAACGTCAGCCGGAGGGAGTGGAATAGCAGTTCAGGTATGCTTTGGACGGACGCACACTCATTCACGTCTTTGCAATTAAAAACATAATACTAAGTCAATACTTCTGTTAAAATCACATGGCTGACAATTCCTCGTGCGCCTTTCAACTATTTCTACCGCCATTAGGTATTTAAACAACGGCACAGGTGCGTCTCCTAGACTACAATAAACAAGGGTGCATTTTGGGAGGACCCCATCAAGTTGGTGACTATTATCCTTTGTACGACAGAGCATGCTTGGGTTCGTCAAAAAGTTTAAACCCTCTGGATGTTACTTAAACCCTATCTTGTTTAGGGATAGGGGTCAACTGTGAAGAATATACTATAAACTACGCAGTCTGTCCTCGATTCCACCGAATGAAGTATGCCAAGTTAAGAAGAAGTCGAGTACACCGTGAAGCACATCATTGCCGCTAGAAATGACTCTTTTGAATAGTTGCTTTTTGTTATAAGTAAGCGAAGTGTATAAAAATAGAGTCCAATCTTATTTCGCAGCTGCGCCTGCAGTAGACAAGCCCCAGTCGCCTGTCATACGGGACCGATGTTAATAAGGAGTTTACTATTAACCACAAACTCTCACCCCCTGGCCCCAGCCCCTATCCCCTAACTTCAACAATTAAACCCAACCCCTAACCATAACCCCTAACCCTAACCCCTAACATTAACCCTAACCTTAATTCCAAACCCCTAACCTCACCCATAACAGGTGCGGCTGCGAAATAAGATCTTACCAACATTGACTGATTGAGTAATAATAGTAACGTATTTTTTCTCTCAAACACCTTGTATGGTGAACACTCTCTCTCTCTTCTTAGAAATTGCGGCAGGCAGTCGAAAAAAGTTCAGCACTGATGGGGCGGCATTGGGTTGGAGGCGCTAACCACCACTCACAATGACAAGCCCGTCAAAGAATGCTTGGGCTTGATGGATATGTCAGATCTAGACAGAGGAGCCTATGGAGGAGGCGGTGTCGAATGACAATGGAACGCAAATACCAGGACCTCCACAGCTGTTGAACCTGGTGTTCCATTTGGTCCTTTGACCTCCGGGGTGGCGCAGACCATGATGACGGACTTTAAGGCTGGACGGTTGACTACCACTATAGAGCAGGGACGGTCGGAGGAAGGTGGTTTCGTTACGGAGGGCGCAAACCATGCAGAGCCACGGCCTACGGCGAAACAACGACGACGACGACGACGACGACGACACAGCCACGCGCCATGCAGCAGGCAAAGCCGGCCGCGGCCTATCAGCGCGAACAACCAATTAGAGTGCGTTATAGTATCGAGCACACGTAATACCTTTGCTCACGCGTGCGGCCGATCGATTAGTTGATATTTTCTCGCAAGGGATTCTCGCGCACGAGACGGCCAATCAACGACCGCCTCATGACAGGCCGGAAGTTTCTGGAACGCTCGTCACCAGTTGACATGCGATAGGGCGGAACATTCCAGAGCGCTCAGGAGACCAAATAAATAAGACGAGTTTGGGTAGGAGGAAACCCTCTCGTGTTTGCAGGCTGTCAATATAGTGCTTGTTTTCCGGACCAGCTCTCTGTTCCACCTACTTGCGGGGCGATAAAAACTGGCAACGCGGGTGCAGCAATGTGATATCAAAAAAAAACAAATGAGGCACACGCTGGAGGCACGGTAGGCCAGCTTTGTGGCGGTACTCACAGAAATGCAACGGAACTGGGGCACCGGCATCCAGAGAGAGCTAAAGGATACAGATTGAGGAATGGATAACCAGGCTCGTTTATGATCCAGAAGGAGGCGTGAATTTCGAAGCCTGGTTTCGAAAGTAAGAAGGACTGTTTTAAGAGGAGGTAGCAGAACTCGATGACAATACGAAGGTGGAAATCATGCTGCAAAAACTGGCCCAGCGGGAACACGAGCGGTAAGTCAAGTTTATTCTACCTCAGAAACCATCAGTCAAACATTTGAAAGCATTACTCCATTTAAAAACTCATTATTCTATTGAAATTTAGAGTGTTTCAAGCCAGAACGTAAGCCTGAAGAGGACTATTTGGATTTAGCCGGTCGAGTTTGTGACAACTTTCTGTAAGCCGAGCTAAAACAGGCCACCAGGGCATAGATTAAAGCACCGTTTTTAATAAAGTCGTTAATATTGCCAGTAGATGCAGATGTGCGTACGCGGTTACTCGCCCAGCTAGATCAGAATGATGACATGACAGTTCAGGAACTGGCAGAGCAATGGGTCCGAATCACAAATATAACTGTTTCTAGTTTTGTCTGCGTACGCACTGGTTGACCAAGTTGCGTGAGTAGCCAGTGGCTCTCAATACCCGTCGAAGATATTGGAATTCAGAAACCTTGTCTTCCGTTTCACTGCCAGAGTGTTGGTGTCTCCCCTCCTTTTGTTCCCCGTGGGCACGTACGGAGGCAGCGACTGACGAAGCCGTGGAGACTCGGGCTCTCAAATTCCATAGCGACCACCCAATCGCGCATAAACGCGCTCGTATTAGGGCACTCTTCCAAAGGGTACAAACGAATTGCAGTAAATCGGAGAATACCAGAACTATGGCATCTTCGGGACCAACTGGCAAAGAATGGACACCCAAACAGCTTTGTCGCCGCTGCCTCCGTACGCGCCCACGGGAAACAAACGGGAGCGAGCCACCAACACTATGCCACCCTCTACTGTATATAAAGAATGTGCCAGAAGCAGCGGAATGTACCGCTACAGAACTCGGCGGGGGTATAGCTCATCGTCCGAGTTACCATGTACACCAAAATCCTGCGAACGAAGGACCGACTAGACGCAGCAGAACAATCTGGTGTCGCTTATCAGATCCCATGCCTTGACTGTCCTCGCCATTATACAGGACAGACCGGGCAACGACTTAGCTCGCAAATAGTGGAGCCCTAACGGGTAGTCCGGAGGGCGATACCCTGTCTCAGGTCGCTACTCCAACCCTGCAGGAAGTCCACGAATCCAAGGAGCACGCGGATAATGACGCAAACCATGAATAAGACAGGGCGAAAACTACTGGAGGCCGGGGTGTCTGACGCCAACTCCACCAACAGACACGGTATATCCCCCTGCTATCATGTGTTTAGTTTTCGCGGACAAGAGGCGCGACCAAATTTCCAGCCAAGGGTGCACGCCGTCACGACGCCGTCACGACTCAGCCTTATCGCAAACACCACTCCCTCTACTTCTAGTCCTCTTCTTTGTTTGACTAAAAAACTGCTCATTTGACGCCGTACTCACACAGTCCTGATGATGGCCTCCTGTACGAGATAGAAAGCTCAGACTAGTACATGTACTGTCCCAGTAATCGCGCGTTCATTTTCTTGTGATAATCCTCTCCGGAACTGCCAGCATGGAGTATAAAAAAATCCAGCACTCGTGAGGCAGCTTGAGGTTGGAGACGCCAACCACCGCTCACAACGACGAACCCGCCAGGGAATGATTGGACTTCACGGACGTATCAGATGGAGACAGAGGAGCTTAGGAAATAAATGATATCGGTTGGTAACAGGACGCAAAGCCCAGGCTCTCACAGTCGTCAAACCGGTTGTTTCATCTGGTCCAGCGATATCCGGAGGGGCACAGACCGTGGGACGGGCTTTGTGGCTGAATACTTGACTGAACAGAAAGGGTCGGAGAGATGTGGTTTCTTTTGACAGAGACAGTCGAACAAATGCTGCTGCATGGTCTTATATCCATGTGGCCCACTGTTTGCATTTTAGCATAATGCATCTGTATTAAAGACGGCAGGCGTTGTATCGACCGGCGATTCCATAGTACGAGAACGATACACAAGCGTGACCTAATGCGCGCTCTTTGTGCGATGATCAATCAGACAATCAGATATTGCATGCGAAAGTTGGTCGGTGTCTCTACTACACAAAAACTTCCCGAACGTCTCAAAACAGTTTAATCATAGCTAGATCTGGCTTAAACCAGGAGTTTAAGTCAAATCATTGCAAATGAATGTGGAAAATCAAGTCGAGAGGTAAATAGTTATCGTCAGCAGTGGTTGAATAGAGAGTTGCCTTTCATGGGAACTAATAAGACAGTCGCAATTACGCGCTTAAGCAATTGCTACAATGTACCGTGCTGCAGTTCGTGGCGTCCGTTTTGTGCTAAATTGACCGCGATTACACGAGTCACGGAGACAGCAAAGCCGAATACGAGCAAGAAGTACTAATTGAAATTCTTATGTGCGACTTATGTTAGAAGGCTTTACTTTGCTGAGGTTGTCATACAGTTTACGATGCGGCATAATCCCACGATAACTCATTCATGCTGGCTTTTGAACGACAAGATAATTAGCATGAGCATTTCCATCGACTTTATATGCTAATATAAATCCGAGCACATTATATTTAGAGCGCTTTTGATAAATTATGCCATCGTAAAATTTTTTTCGTGAAAGAACGACGTTTTTCTGTTGCGAAACTGTTGTCCATTTCCGGACTAATTTTGAACCTGAACTTCTGTATCAGAAGCGTTGAGGGTTTCCTAACTACACGGTGTACCCATTCCAGGTAGGAAAAGCCACGTAGGGCCAATAACACTCTCCTCCTTACCCATGTAGACACCTGCAATCAGAATATTCGCCTTTATTCGTAAAATTTTTTAATAGAGATGGAGTACGTGGCACGCTTTATTAAGAGTACTTACCAACGGACTGTTACAATGCTGTATGAATAGACCTCTCGCAGCCACAATAAGTCTTATAATAAAATATGTTTTGAGAAACTTTCTATGACATGTGTTTGGATTTTTAATGGGATCGGAAACGATATGAAAAGAGCATACTACTTAATTGGCCGTCCTAAGCAGAGAATTATCTACGGACAGCTGGAAGCCTACGTATTCACAAATCGGTAATCATCATGATTTAAATACCTTTTGATTTTGCACCATGCCATTCAATCTTTGCAACCTCATGTAGGTAAATCTTTCGGCAACAATTTGGAGAGGGCACCCAAATACCCGTTACTTAGAAATAATACCTGCTATACCTATTTGAGCAGGGTATGTCCCAACATATTCGTCGTTCCATCCGACCTCAATTTTATCTGATCTGCAGTGTACATGTTGCCTCAGATTATCATAGTCTCCAACAGTTAAGATGCGACCGCTGCAGACCGAGCCATGGTTAATCAACCTTGACCTAGGCTCACACGGCTGGAGAGTGACAGCAGTAGTGGGGTTGCGGCTAAATTTACCCTTGCATACCTTAGAAGAGTTGAGAGACGATCGCTGTAGACCATTGCTTGTTTAGGTCACGAGCGACGACATTAGTCCGTTTGCGGCTTACTTTAGAACAGCATAGCTTAGGAAAGTTGGGCAATTATCGCATAAGACCAATCCTATGTTTCCCAACCTTGACATTAGCTTCCACAGCTGAAAAGCGAGCGCAGTACTCGATATGCGCTTAATCTATAGTAACATACGTTCAAATACTTGCGATACGATCGCTGTGGACCAGCCCTTTGGCTTATCCATTATGGCCATTTCTTCCTTAGTTGAGGAATGACCGCAGTTGTAGGTATGCGGCTCAATCTATGGCACCATACCCTTTAGACAGTTGCAAAACGATCGCCGTAGACCCACCCTACGTTAAACAACCTTAATATGGGCCTCCACTGCTGACAAGCGACCGCAGTAGTCCCTATGCGAATTATTCTATAGTAGCTTACCTACGGACAATTGCAATACGATCGCCGTTGACCGAGCACTTGGATTATCAATCCATACCATTACTTCCAGATATCAGGAGCTACCGCAGTTGCCAGTGTGCGGCTCAGTCAATGGCTGCATAGCTTAGGACAGTTGCGACAAGGTCGCTGCTTTGGCCGGCAGTATTTTTTTGGGTGCCCTCTCCCGATTGTTACCGATCTTTCTAACGGAAGTCGTATTTCAGATGCTCGGCTGGGGCTTCAGGCGCAAAGCCAGTTACCGTATATCTGGTCTATCAGTAACATCTAAATGAGTTAGGTACAGTGCGTGACCGATCTCATGAAATGAGATCTATTAGGAAGGATTGCTTAAGTGAGGTTGTAATGTTGATTAGCATGCAGCATTATCCTATAACATTTAGGACTCGCCAGGATATCGGCTTTTGGATTCACTTCTTCTTGACCTCCTGCAAATACCGTACTCGATGAAAAAAATGACCACTTAAGTATCATGCATTTTTCCTATGGATTTTCGATCGTCTTATAAATTCAAATATATTTTAAAGAAAACCTGCACGAAAATAAGCTTTCTTCTAATCATTTGATAGAAAATAACATTGTCTATGCATTTCATGCACGAAGAAAGTGTATATTTAAGTTTTAAAAAGCTTCTAATTATGAGATGTTTTAGACCATGCGATGTTTGTGCATACAGGACCGCACATGTCCGTTTACCTTTGCTCCTCTTGAAATGTACAACACAGTTCGGCTCCATTGCGAAATTTTATGAACTTGTGGTATCTTCTTAAAGACATAGAGGAATATATGGTTTTCCTTACGCGGAAAGCATGCCCTTTGTTGAGTGAAATCGCTGAACACTGATGCCATGGAAGACCAGGCTCAAAAATATTCAGGCATTGGGAAACGTTTTTAAAATCTAAATATACACTTTCTTCGTGCATAAAATGCAAAGACAATATTATTTTCTACCAAACGAGTAAAAGAGAGCTTATTTTAGTGCACGTTTTCTTTAAACTATATTTGAATTTGCATGACCATCGAAAATCAATGAAAAAGTGGATGCTACTCAAATAGTCATTTTTTACCGAGTGCGGTATCTGCATGGGGTCAAGAAGGAGTGAATCCAAAGGCCGACAGTCTGGAGAGTCCGAAATCCTATAGGATTATGCCGCATGCTAATCAATATAACAACCCCACCTAAGTAATCATTCTTAACCGAAAACGAATTTCAGAATTTCGGCCAACATTTTATGAGATCGGTCACGCACTGTAAATATGGCCTGTCCAATTGGGTAAAATTTACTCATTGAAGCTATTTGCAGTTGTCAGGTTGGCCGGCCTTTTCGAGCACCCTACGCGTACTTGGGCAATTTGCCTGTTGGAGGTGAGGAGGTCCACAACCACTTAGGACAAGGGTGCATTGTGCGTTCATGACTTAAGGGAGAGGGGGCGGGAGAGTGCCTTGATGACTGTTCAAAACTTTCCGGTCTAATTTGCGTTTGTATAGGCAAAACAGTGAAATCCCCTACTCGTTAGTTGCGGCTAGGAGTGAGTCAGTGCTAAAAGACTTCCAGTTGGACATAAACAGCACTACTCTGGCTGCGAGTGTGTGAGGTCATTCTGGTAGGAGAGATAGAAAATTGGTTAATGGTTCCTGATTTGCATGGCATTCGTATTATACTGCGTTAGCGAATTCCCTCGCGAGGGGGTAGAAGGCGATTCCTAATTAGAACCGCTGAGACTGGCGGCCGCCTAGTGCCAATGTGTGTTTAACCGAAAAACAACGAGAATCAGCCTGAACTGTCTATGAGATTACTGTCGCTCGCTGTGAAGACTTCCGACGGTTGGAGGATATGAGCCCAAAAGCAATGTCCGACTTGGCCTAACACACGTGCACCGTCACACGACAGGTTTTGCATAACTGACTGAGCCAAGATCCAAATAAACAGCCACACCGGTCATTTGACTCAACTCACCGGCCGAAGCGGTTTCAGAAATGTAGTCGCTGTACGAAACACACGTTCGTGAAAGCAGAAATGAGAGTTTGGCCACAATTAGAGATCGCGCGGAGCAATCGCCACCTGCACCATGACCGTGGAACAATCAGTCACGCCAAAAAAGCGTGCTCCCCACCCCGAGACACTATACACGCCGCCGCAACAATTAATACTACTAATAATAATGGGATTAGCATTTGAGACTTCGTGTCGGCCAAGACATGGGGCACTGCAGTTCTCACTCATGGCGCATTTTCCCTCATCAGTCAGTGACTCACAATGCTGGTCCATCCCAATATTTCAAATGCTGTTTATAATTTTAAAAAAATATTATTACAATCGATTCTAGTGGAAGTATCACTTAGGAAGACTGGCTTTAGTGACGAAGACAAATGAAACCAAGACGGCACATTCTCACTCATTTGCAGTCCGCAGCCAGTCACACGCTAACCACAAGCAGGAAAACCCGCATCCTGTGGAACTAAAATCCAAACTTACACATCAGACTAATGAGTACCGCATTCACGCGCGTAGTAGTCAAGCTACCAAGGAAACCGTTCGATGCAGCCGCCCCTACGGTAACGCCAAAACCAAGCTGAAAGCAGCAGCTAGCCCAGCTGTAACATTCGGCGACATATTTGGGAAAAAATGAGTTGCCCCCTATGATAAAACGGGCAACTGGACGTTAAGATCAATCCATATTTGTGGGAAATACGCTTTCAGGGTAAAGGCTGTCCACGTACGCACGTAACACCCAAAAAGTCTCCATCCAGTGGACGAACGCAACTATGATCCACTCAATATCAATTACCCAAACGGCATTCAATGATTCTAAGTTTCTAACTGCTCGACCGAGCTACTTCAGGGCACAGTCGCTCCAAGGCTCTGTCGGCCATGCAATTATGAAAATATTTTAAGAAACTGGGGAAAAGAATGCACGTATCTTAGCCAGACCGGTCTGTACGTGGTCATAGAAACCATGAGATCCAGAAAACCAATTAATATCAACCACTGAACATCATCCAAGAAAACGACTCACGTTGAAGACGCGCAGACGCTCCTCCATCACATCCTGATCCATCCACCCCTCCACGGAGGAAACCGTAGCGACGACATGAGCATTCTGACGTCGGAGACATCGACCCCTACCTGCACTGTATTCAACAACAAGAACTGCGACAAAGGAGAGAACAGCCTCCAAAAGCAGACTAGTGATCTTGCAGCCGAGCATGTCCCAGCCATAAAGGTCGGTCTCAACGAGGATATCCAGTTTGAAGCTCTGCATCGCATGTCGCAAGGCCAGGTCGTAGAAGCCCCTGCTGAAAGCGTACTGGGGGAAGACGAGAAAAAGCTTCTTCAACGCATCGTTAACCGGCTTCACTGAGTCGTTTTCAGACTGAACCATGTCCAACATGAACACAGTCACAGAAGTGACCACGGCAATCATGAGGTTAGCAGCCAGCAGAACCACAAAGGCCAGACTTGGCACACGGAATACGAAGGTGAAGAGATACATGAGGGGGATGACACAGACGCCAAATATCACCATTATCGCGATGAAGCCACCCACACTGTCTCTACCCACGTAAGCCTCCTCGTTAAAGGCTAGAAAGATAAGAACAATAATAATCACGGGGACAAGGAAGTTGCACACATCCCAGATGTAGGTTGAGAGCCAGTATATGGTGCGATTCAGACCTGACATGAATTGGAGACTCCTCGAGCCCACACATCGCTCCCGGATGAGAAAGACGACGAAACTGGAGGAAACACAAGAAAGAGCGAGGATAATACCAAAGGATTTGAGCAGTTGAATCGTCAGTGAAGATAGTTGAAAGGGCTTCAAAACACTGGACTTCACTTTCGGCGGAGCCATTGGATGCATAGACGCAACGATGGCAAAATTAGAATGCTCCACGCCTTTCGCTCTTGCTCGTCTACCTACAGGACCCTGTGGAAGCAGCATTCGCAGCTGAAGGTTGTGTAGGAGGTTGAGATAGGCAACACTTGCAACATAACCCTTGTTGTAGTACCAAACGCGCGCAAAATGCGTGGGTGGGAGATTCAGTCGCAGAATGTCGGCAAGGTCCAGTCCCAACCGGGTGATGCGGTCATCAGCAAAGAGAACATCCAGGATGTGTGCGACTCGGGTGTGATTGGCCAAGAAGGCGTGCGCAGCACCAATGCGAGCGGGATCTTTGATAGCCACAAATTCCAGGCCACCGTAGCGCTTGAGGATAAAACTAAAGCGCGTCTTCAGCAGGTAGTCGGAAATGTTGTAGCCGGTGAGATTGTAAAGTATGTCCGAAGTGGCCAGTGGCCAGGTTGGTGGTTCAAATCCGCCCACTGCCTCCAGGTCACACAGAAAACGACCGTCATTGGCACAGTAACAAGTGCGGTTCGTGGAGGCCCGAACTGTCTCTAGCTGATCACTAGTCAGTTTAAATTCATCACCACCCGGTGGGGAGTAGGAATATGAGCAGCCAGCAAACTTGGAGGGTATGAACTTGTAGACGCTAGAGGGGAGGCATTTAGCACCAGACCAACCGGTTCGAGAGAGAAGGTGGTCAGTATAGACTTGGGAGACTCGGCGAATATCAGAGAGGGCAGACTGACTACTACTATTGCCATCCTGCTCGGTGGATTTCGTCGCCCAGACATTTGTTGAGTAGAAGGTGCGCAGTTGCGGTGGATTTCCGATGTCAGCCATGAGCCAGGGATGAAGCGGCATGTTGGGCTCCTCGTTCGCAATTTGATAGCTTGTTGTCACCGCCATGAGGATAACGACTGTGCACACGGGTAGAACCATCTCCAGAAACCAGCCACGCTTGCTACGCTGCACGTAACGCAGGCGTTTCCCCAGACAGGCTTTCATCTGTTGCGCATAAAGCTGAGCTCCTTTTAGGGGCTGAAGGTCGGAAGGCGCTAACCTTAAATCGGCAGGGGAACCCTGACTGCGCTCGCCGATGCTGCCGGTGTTACTACTTTCCTTCAACGGGATCACTGCCCTATTTGTCGGACAGGTGGAGTCATATTCTTCCGTCTTTTTCTCATCCGGCCGACCCGTCTCGAACTGAGGGATTCCGACAGGACGTAGACGTCCTCGACTCCAGTGACGGCGTCGACGACCACGCAATCTCGAGTGACATTTGACTCCATCTTCTGGTAATGGAAAACGCACGGCCTCACTTGGGTCTTCGGAGAGGAGAAGAAATATTTCCTCTAGGGTAGTATCAGCAAGGCCGTATTGTGCGAAACCAAAGCGTTCGCGAAATTCCACCCGATTGGAGTCCAGAAAGGCGAAAAATTCGGCGAATCCACCGTCCAAAGCATGCTGGGCGGGCAGAGCGAACACCCATTCGGTTGGGTTAGATGTGATCAGCTGAACGCCCGACAACTGGCCAGCCAAACATTCCACCAACTGTCGATCCAACTCTTCAGAAGACAGCATCAGCTGAGATTTCTCCTCTGTAGCCTTCTCCACAGTGAGGTAGTAGGATTTGGCAAAGTTTGACTTGAGGAAGAGGCTCGATCCACTGGCCTTGAGGTGACCCTGTGAAATGATGACGATGCGGTCGCCAAGGACATCCGCCTCGTCCATGTGATGTGTGGTCAGAATGATGGTGCGCGACGCCCGGAAGCGTAGAATTAACTGCCAGATAGACCGTCGAGAGTGTGGATCTACGCCTGCTGTGGGCTCGTCCAGGAACACTATTTTGGAGCCACCAATGAAGGCTGCTGCCAGAGAGAGGCGCCTTTTTTGACCACCAGAGAGACTCTGGCTCAGGTCGTCCGCCTTGTCTACGAGGTCCAGCTGCTGAAGGAAGGCATTCGTCTCCTCTGCCAACTCTTCCTTCGAGAGGCCCTTAATCGAACCGTAGAAACGGATGTGTTCCCTCACGGTTAAGCGATCATAGAGGATGTTATGTTGAGGACAGAGACCCAGAAACGTTCGGATGGCTGACATTTCCGTCCTGATATTTTTGCCGCAAATATAAGCGTCTCCACTGGAGGCCGGATAGATGCCAGTGAGAATTGACATGGTTGTGGTCTTGCCAGCTCCGTTATGACCCAGGAAGGAGGTGATTTGACCCTCATAGAAGTCGGCCCACAAATTGTTGACGGCCGTCTGTTTCCCACCGCGATAGGTCTTAGTTAGACCGCGGATCGATACGCCAACGGAATTTTTATCTGGCGGAGGCTCGTGGAACTGATCGTAGAATTGTGGCGATGATGCTTGCTGTGGCATATAGGATGACGACAAGGACAGTGACGACGACGCTGACGATGGCGGAAGGTCTCCACTGAGCACGCTTTTTCTTTTGGGATGACAGCAACAATTGTCACAGACGTCCTTCCAAAAGGCACTAGTGAAAAGAAAGTACCACTTTCGGGGAACGCCGTAGGTACTCGGTAAGACGGCCTCCAGGTAGGCCGTACAGAGCAAAGCTAGAAGGCCGTCTATGAACAGCATAACTAGACAGTTTCCTAGCGTAAATGTCTCATTAGTGAGCTCCGTACCCCACAGATTGTTCCATTGCGCGCCCTGTCCCGTCCGCTCTAGGTCTCCCAGACGAAAAAAAGCCAACGCAAGTGCAACTTGTGGGCAAAGTGAGAGCGCAGACAACAGTTTGTAGTCGAGGTAGTACAGAAGGACGAGAGCGTAGGGTAGAAATATTATGAAATAGGATAAACCCGAAACTACAGCAGCGATGTCAGTTTTCGTGTAGAAGACGGAAACGAAGAAAGCCTGTGGAATGATAGCCCACAGGTAGGCTAGAAGACAGGAGAGAATAACGAAGAAGTCGCCATGTGGATAAATACCTCCAAACTTGAGCAAAAAAGCTGCACATAGGCTAGAAGTGCCCATCATGACACAACTGACCGTCCACCAATTCAGCCAATGCACCAGATTGCCCATACCCATGATCTTGGTGAATTCCTTCAAGCGACACTCCTTCTCGTAGACGATGGCACGCACAGCAAAGACCACATTGCAGATCCAAATAATGACTATGATCATGGGCAGATTAAAGGCGAAGTGATGAAGCATTGGGTCCACCTGATAACAGGGACCGGGTACAAATTTCATTTCTACCGGAAGTAGGAGATTCGAGTAGAGATTGCTCCCGTTGGTATCAGTTTTCGGGCCACCAACAATTTTGATGTATGAGCGTGCAATCTGTTCCTGTACATCGATGAAACCACTTGTAAAGTATTTCATAGAATCACTGAGTCGATTGCGTGGCGGAGGTGTAGAATATATGTCAAGGACTCTGAACTTACTGGTTGGGTCCACTAGAGAAACAGGCAGGCGAAGTCGAGTAATTAGGAGGGTGGAATTGAGGTCGCTCAGATCAGCAGAGATGGCTGGTGCCTCATCAAAAAATAACATCATCACGGGCTGACCGGCAACACTAAGGTTCTCCGCCGTCTCCTCCATCAGAGTGGAGTTGGAGTAGCCAACAAAGCGATCGTAATTGATGCAACTGGAGAGGATGTTGTCCACCGCAGCGCTAAGAGCTCTGATTGGTTCAATCAAATCTGACCAATGGAGATAGGACGTGGTGTTTGCGTCCGGTTTAGTCGGTGGTTGTTTGTCCTCTTGCAGAAAGTATTTTAGACGGCGGCAACTCTCGGTTACGTTGGCCGGTTGGTTGGGTAAAAGTAAACAGACGGCAGCCAGTCTACGCAGTTGCCTGACCAGGGTGCTATTCACAAATATCTTTGGCAGAACTTCAGCCTCCATGTTCACCCATACACCGGAGGCGACCTTGAGGCGTTCGAACATCCTCGTCGTCTGATTGGCTCCGCTGACGATTCGCTGGGTAAGCGGTGTGACAGGATGGTACAAAATGCGTCCCTGCATCAGAGTTTGTAGTCTTAGAGTTAATGGGCGCATCGGTTCGACAGCAAAGATAGCATTGAGGGCGGAACAGGCTGTTGCATTTGTGGGGACGTCGACAAGATACTGACTAAGGCTAGAGGCACTATCTTTTGAGCTGCCCATTGGGGGTTTACCACTTTGTGTGGACAGCAGATCGGCGAGGTTAAGAAAGTCATTCTGACCTGGACGACTGCCACAGATGGGGATGGAGACGAGTTTTACGGCCTCTAGCAGTGCTGTGATATTGCGTGTCTTATTGGCCGTCTGATCGGTGGAGCGAACGGAAGAGTACGAGCTTGCCAAGACGCTGAAGGCTCCCAGAAGACCATCGGCGACGGTAAAAGGACTGTCACCAGAGGCGGCGAGGCGACCCTCCAGGGCATTGCGCAGTAACCTTCTCGGCCTCACCGGCAAGAGGCAGTAGGCTCTAGCCAGCGTTGTCACATGCTGCTGCGACGTGATGACACTGAGTAGGCTAAAGGTCTTCTCGTCGCAACCAAGAGCCTCAATGAGGTCCATTGTATTTGTCAAGGTTGGGTCGTTACCAACGACTGTAGCTTGTTCGAGACTCTTCCTCAGAGTGTCTTCAGACAGCAGGTGAATGACAGATGTCATGTCAGGAAGGCCGCTTAAATATGATTGGCTCAGGTCGGCTAGGTCGTTCAGCCAAGTGGGCAGGCCGAAAATGTTTCCATTGGATCGGTCATCGTCGTAGGCTGTACAGGTGAGATTTGGGCTACAGATGAGGGAGCGTAGGTATTTGAAAAAGCCCATGCTGGGTAGGGGTTGGGAGGTGATGTGACAGGGCGGATAGACGGTAGGTTTTTCAACATGACGCATTCCAACGAGGACAAGTAGAATGATCAGGGGTAGGAGGAGTTCAGAGATGAGGAAGAGACGCTGACGACGTCGAAGGAGGAAACTCTTCCAGAGCAGGAGATGGTAATGTTGGAAGAAACCGATTTTCCGATGGTCTGACAGTTCAGTCAACCCAGCAGACACATTTTCCCACTCTTCTAGATTGTCTGACGTGGTCTCCATTGTCGTTTAAAAGCCTGAAAATGGACAAAGCCGGACATTAGGCAGTGGCTTGTTAGTGTAAAGTCCGATGATGCGTTCATCAGCTCCGCATTACTGTTCTACCGTCGACTTCGACTATGCACAGCGTGTGCCCACAGCCTAGCGGGCGCAGCGACGGTAACTTCAGCGTGATTTAGTTTATAGTGATGGCAGACTAACGCTGCGCCTTCTGTGCTCTTGTAGCAACCCGCCCTCACAGCGTCAGCAGCGCCGCTTGGCCATGCTGCCTCTGGTCCGCCGAGAGAGCCAGACAGGGAGTGCGTACGTGTGTGACTCACCCCCCCCCCCTCCCCGCTTGACGTCAATCGACATTCCTCTTTTCTCAGTACTGCGAAAATTCCCATATTACCATTGAAAAGTCAATTGGCTAGCATATGCTTTCGGTAATTCCTCATAAGGACAAACGATGCTCTCGTTAGATGTATCATCACTGTTACCCCAACGTACCCGTTGTGCAGACAGTGGACTTCGTGGTCGACTACATCAGGGAAACAAACTACCCGATAGGCATGACAGTGGAGACGCTAAAAGAACTACTTACGCGATGCACACAGAATGTCCAATTCCTCTGCAACGGCCAGCTATACAGGCAAATAGACGGTGTGACAATGGGTTCACCGCTTGGACCGTTTCTCGCAAATATCTTCACGGGCAAGGCCGAGCAAATGAGTCTCAAAGGTAACATTAATGACCTAAAATTCTACGATCGATATGTGGACGATATCTTTTGCATGACGAGTCATACCACCGACATCAATGACCTAGTTCAGAAGTTTATCGGGGTGCACCCATCTCTGATGTTTACCGCAGAGACCGAGGCGAATAACGAGATCGCATTCCTCGATGTCCTTCTACACAGACAAGAGGATGGATCCATCTGACGCAAGATATTCAGAAAGAAAACCTGGACGGGACAATACATTAATTTTCACAGTTTTGTTCCCTTAAATCTAAAACGAAATTTAGTCCAGGGACTGGCGGCTAGAGTGAGACGCACCTGCTCTCCTGAAACTGTTGAAGCAGAACTCCAGCAGCTGCAAAACACGCTCCGCGAAAACGGCTATCCAGAGCGATTCATCCTCCGGAATGTTAGAGATCGGCCAACAAAACTGGCCGTTGCAATTGCGAAGAAAGACTTGTTTCTAAGACTGCCTTTTCTAGGAGACGCAGCAAGCGAATTAGTGAGATGACGTCTCAGGACAGCTCTCGCAAGTGCCTTCCCCGCGGCGAACTTGTGCGTATTCTTCGCAACTTCCCCCCTACTACGGTTGGGGGGCGAAGACCGGCCGCCGTTACAGGCCACATCCATGTGTATTTATTCATTCACCTGCTCCTGTGGAGCGGGATATATATTGGCCGTACAACCAGGCGTCTGGAAAAGAGGATACGCGGTCACATTCCTACCTGGCTAGGTAGAGGTGAAAATCAACCAATTTCGAGTCCAATTCTCGCACATCCAAACCACCAAACCTACGCTAAAGAAGCTTTTAAAATTATCTACCGGGCACCGGCACACTACTCTAAAGGCCTGCGCAAACGAGTGCTAGCCCCAGCCGAAGCAGTGGCCATTCGACTGGCGAACCCTGCGCTCTGTTGTCAGAAGACGCTGACACAAGCAGTCGGTCTGCCCTGGCCGAATGTAGACGGTGATCGCACGCCGTCCCGACGCACTGGGAGCAGTCACACGCACTCACAGCGTCTACAATCTAACCGGAACCCCTCTACTTCCCCCCTCCCACCCCAACTCCATCATCCTCAACACACTGACTCCGTTATGCGGGCGGCGTGGGAACATGGAGTTCGATTAACCCAGCCCCCAAGACGCATTTATACCCTGTCGATAAGAAGACTGAACATTGCCCTTGTACAGGCCTTATGAGGGATTACCGAAAGCATATGCTAGCCAGTTGACTTTTCATTCCTCTTTTCTACCGATTGGTGTGACAGCCGGTTGAATTTCAGACGACTGCCGCCTAAATTCGTATATCGTTTTAAATGAGTCTGTAAATAAATATGTTACTGGCAACATTTCAGCAACATGTCTATTTAAAATGTACATGTTGTTTGGCGTTTTCAATAAGACCGCCAATGACATTGCCTATAACCCTAAAGTAGACCAAACAAACATCAAGGCTTGTAATGTAACTGTTTTCCATGTCCTCTGATTTGGGAATCGGCGCTTGTCGACCATAGAACCTCGACATCCCCTCTTCCGCAACCCTCCTGGGTCCGGTGTTGTGATTGGGTCAAGCAAGTCGGCGGACGGATTGGGCGCAGTGGTTGAGAAAAGTAAACATCCTGTCTGCGAGTGCAGCACACGCCTGGTCCCCGTAAGATAGACGAGAGTTTTGCAAAACAACATGGAGGACGGTTCAGATCCCAACTTTGGCGGGATGCCTTAAAGGCCATATTAAGTGGGAGTCAGTGTAGCCAGGCTCTCCCCACTGAAACGATTAGATTAATCCGCTCGATTGGAAGGCTTCCAAGCCACGGCTTCTAACGCACCGAAATAGACCAACAACGTGTCAAATTGTTTCTGGCGAGGAATACGGGCTGAGAGCCGAGGGGACGGGGTCTTCCAAGTCGATCCAATCCGCTCTTCCCTCTCCTTAACTCCAGCTGACTGTCCGAGCAGGGATTGGACGCAATGACTGAGGACGCGTCTGCGTGTCACACACGACCTAGCCCTCGCACAACACTACAGTCTATCACTCAAAGGAATGGATTGTTCCGATCTCACACGAATGAGGGTACCTTAGAGGTCGTATGAAGAAGAACCCATTAGTCCGAACACACAAGCAACTAGTCGGCCCCTCCTCTCAAGTACACCGAGGGCCGACTGCGGCTTTGTTCAATATCAATAGATGACAACTTTCTAAGTCATGATCTACAGCGTGTCGCGATGCATTCAGATTTATTGTAGTTGCACGTAACCTGCCCGACTGGAACGACCAATTCTGATTCAACGTCTGTCGTCGAGCGCGTTCTTAAGTCGGTCGCGTTTGGAAATATGTACTGGCGGCAATAGTAGGGCGTCCACCAATCCGGTTACGGGCTATGGCCATCACGTTGTGCATTGGAGCTTGAGCTGGTACCCTCGCAGGCAAGAACATATCGTCCGGTAATCATGCCGAAGGAGTGTTGGCGACGGAGAATGCGATGGCCATCTATGGCCTATTAATTGCTGGCAGTTCATCGTACCCAGCCCCGAGGCTTGGACGACGTGAGATAAACTTTTAACCGAGCTCCTCTTTAAGCAAGTACTTTTGGGATGATTTTTATACTGAAAAGCCTGCTTTAATAAGCTTGCAAAGATAGTCAATAAAGAATATAATGTCAGCTCAATTCGCAAATGCCGACTCCGCCCTGGTCTTCTCATTTTTCACCTGCGTAACTGAAAATGGAACAAAGGTGCTACCTTAATCAGCCACGATTTTCGACCGCCCAGGAAAGTCATTCGGCACAAGAAAGAGTGCATGAAAGAGGCTTGCAAACAACAGACAGGTAACCGGTTTGAAGCATGGATAATGTTGCAAAACATAGGGGCAGCATTAATCGGTCTAATAGCGCTGGGCTAAACGAATACGAGGCTTCAAAATTCTCATAATAAGTAATATTTGCGAAAGACAAAATGACACTTTTCTCCCGCGCGAAAATAAGGAATGTCGCAATCTTTTATAAACTACGCATGTAGAACAAAATTCCCCATGTTATTTTTTCCACAGAATATTTTTTATTAGACATCAAAGCAGACATCTTACAAGATCTGTTAGTGGTGTGTATGTAATCTTATCCAGCACAAAGCGTATAGGATGGTGTCTCCCAAAGTCTCCCAAGCTTCGAAGTATGCTGTGGACTTTGGTAGAATATTTAAGGAATTCTCCGACAGATTTAAACTCAGCTCGGTCGTTCCAGCACTGATCGTTCTGTAGAGAAGGATATAAGCATTTTTTTACTGGAAATTTGAATCAATAGTCTTCACTTATTTACTGTTCGTTGGGTTTCTAATGTTGGCATTTTGAAGCACATTTCCGGGTGGGGCATTGAGATAGAGACTGGTTTGCTGATCCTAAGCGGACCTTATTCCAACATCTACACCGTTCGTTTGCAGTCAGATCTGCCGTCCCCGAGATTCCAGCAGATGTCCGCGGTTGCTACTAAATTGATCGGGGACATGAAGGTTCACATTTCGGCTGAGCATGATCAGGGTCAGGCATGTCGAGTGACGCTGCACGTCGAAGAGGAGGATCCCCACTTAGACCCTTCCATATACATTGCGAAGTTAACTGTGCATTCCGCAGGAAACAATTCAGGATCCTGTTGTGAATGTATGAAATTGGGGGCGTGTCCTCATCCTGTCAACGCCTTGTTCGTTGATGAATGTATTGAGAGCATTTGGGTTCTTTAATGTATGTGCTACTGGTCTATGTGCGGACGCGAAGGAGAGACTTACTGTGAATTCACATATCGCTACAGCAGCGGGTCATGTTCGCCCTGCCTGGGGTTGGGGCCGATGGTGACGATGTTGATGATGATAATAATAGTAATAAAAATAACAACGATGATGCTGATGCTATGTCATACCATGCTATGCTAAATGAACCCCATCGATCACGGTGCCGGATCTATTTGTCCATTTGTGCTCCACAACTCGTTTCGGAATCTCGTGAGCAGTCACGCAGCGACTCAGTGGTATGAAGGTAAGGTTAGTAATCAACAAAACGCGGGTTCAAGCCTCATAGGTTGCCAAACTTGGGTTGAGTACGGCTGGCTGATGGAAACTAATAAGTCAGAAATGGCCGTCACAGTTCCCCTTTTCTTTGTCAGTACTATCTCACCTCTACTACTACTAGTAGTCGCTGTGCGACTGCCTGCGAGGGTTCTAGTATTAGCCCCATGGCACAACGGAACGAACACGTTCCGTAACTTGTTGGGTGAGCGCTCATCTGTCATAATTGATA